GTAATATAAGAAAAGTCACAAAGAATACGCACTCATTTCAGTGAAAACTCCCGGGTGTCGTTTACCCGGATGACACCTGTCATTAGCCAAGAACGTCACATACAAAATCATATCCTCATAACGGGTAGGGGAGAGTGTGTTACAGGACAGACTTGCCAGGGGCAAGGTTTCCTGGAGGCCAGGGGGATTCATAAAGTATGAAACAACCCCAGTCCCATCCCACTAGGATTGGGAAGAAACAAAGTCACAGGAACACGGGGTCCACAGGCCTGGAAGAGATGCACCCGGCGCTGGGCTCCCCCTGTTTAATGAGGGCGTCCACCTGCCAGGACCACAGACCACAGAGGGGCTGTTGGGTGCCTGTGCAGCCGAAACAGCAGGGTCTGTCCCCGACCCCCATACCTTGCTGCATTCCTAGTCTTCTGTTTCTTAAAAAGGGCTCCCAGATTTTATGAGGTTTGGGCCCCGCAAAACATGCACTGAAGAATGTAAGGAAAGGTTAAAGGAGAGACATTTACAGTCCTTGAGAAGCACTTTCAAACAGGAACATGGGCAGTTAAGGGCCCTTCTCTCCGGAAGGTTCCATCTGTGTTCAGACAGGCTGTCCTTTCCTCACATCCTGAAGAGTAGCTGCTCTCACCCGCCCCCCGTTGCTTCCCTCCGTTAGCGAACTCCCAGAAAGGAGGGTGGGCAGGCACTGTCTCAGACTGCCCCCAACTCCTGCCGGGATGTCACCTCGGTCTTGGTGAAGGTGACCCAAGGCCTGCCCAGGGCCCCAGGAGTGCCCACCGCAGGTGGGCCTCCTCCCAAGAGTCCTTGGCTGGCTCCTCCTCCCACCTGCCCCATCTATGATATCAGGTGGAGCTTCTGCAAATGACTCCTCCAAGCTCCCACCCAGATCCCCCCTCCATTAAACACACCCACTCAGTGTCCGCTCAGACACCAGAGGGGCGCGTCCGGGGGCGCTATGGACTCCTCCCTTGTCCGCGGCAAAGTCGCTCCTCCGGCAGCTCAGGCCCTCCTCGGAGTGTCCACAGGCTCGACCTCCCGTCTCTTTTCCTAACAGACTCCCTCCACTTCTCTCTCCCCCGGCCACAGTGGGCTCCTGGGATTCCCTGACCACTTAACTCCACCCACCCCAGGACCTTTACACTTGCCGTCCCCATTTCCTGGTACGCGCTCCTCCACCCCCACCGCCGAGACAGCTCCACGGCCTCCGTGGGCATTTGCAACCCCCCTTCCCGGTGTTGTTCTTTCCCTGGACTCCTCTTCACAAGGGTCAGGTCCTTATCTTCCTCGGGTAGCTGCTTACTCGGCCCTCCATCTGCCCGTGATGCTTCCGTCGGGGGAGCGCCGGCGCACAGAGCTGTGGGGTAGTCGCTGGGACAACGGGGACACGGAAGAGACGCGCGCCTGCCCGCCAGACCTTGCACTGTGGAGGCCATCCTTGAGGGGGCCCACGGGGGAGGGGCCGTGCGAGGAGGAATCCGCCCGCTGAGGGAAACACCCTACCCGCAGCCCGCTGCTAACCCAGCGTGTTATCTGGGCATCCCACTTGCCCTTAAAGACCCTTATCTCTCCCTCCCTCCTCAGACCACCCGGGCAGAAGCCTGCCTATCAGTGAGACCCCTCCCTCTCCCTCAGCGTCTCTCCCTGCTCTGCCTGTCCCAACGGGCTCTGCCTTCCGTCTGCCCTCCACGGAGGGACTGGTGTGGGTCTGCCACCAAATTCTGACTCTGGCCCTTTCCATAAACACGGCGAGTATCTCTCGTAGGCCTACGGTGCCAGGTGCCGTCCACATGCTTGCAATGCAGTCGTGACCGAGATGCGGGCCCCGAGATGTCTGCTCCCACTGTGCCCTCGTGCAGCCCAGACCCTGTGGGATACAGGAAGCAGATCTCACCCCACAGCCGCCTTGAGGACTCGGGGATGCATGGAAAGCCCTTATTGCTGGAATTGGCAAAGGCCCAAGCAGGATCTGCTAAGTATTACTGCCATGGTCTACGGAGGGCTCTGTCCATGCTAGTCTCTGCCACTAACCCAACCTCCCGAGTGGCGGAGACTACCGCCCTGAAGCTTCCTGGGCCACCAGCCCTCTGCTAGCTTGGGAAACCCCGCATCTCTGGGGTGGGATGGGGGTGTTCACCCCACTGCTTCTGCCTTGCTGCTGGCTCTGTCTCTCTCTTCTGCACCAGCCGGTTCCCCAAACCCCGCGGTCCCTCAGCCCTTTATGCCTCCAAGCTTGCTGGGGGGGCCGCCTGCCTGACCCCTTCACCAGGCCGCACACACTGGGGAGCACGCAGAGAGACCCCGGGTCTTCTCTGACCACTCCAGGTGCCCATGCAGCCGTGACTCTGCACACGGGCTGAGTGAGCTGGGGGAGGAATGCTGCGGGGACAGCCACAGTTGGGGAGGGAGTCTAGGGGTGCGGTATGGGGCTGTTGCCTGTGTGGCTGTGGTCTAGAGCTCTCAAGTGTTTCCTTGTCCACATGAGTTATTTTAATTGCCCTTTTGGAGTTCACGCCCCTCACCTACTGGTACTTGTGACCTGAGCAGGGTCTATCCACATATCAACGGGAATTTATGGTGAAACAGTCAACCTTCAACCCTATTCTGGTAAATTATCGGCTTTGCGAATATCACCGGCAAATTGTTCATTACAAACCACGATGAAAATGAAGTTCAGTCCTTGTCCAGCCAAAATATAATTACAAAGTTAAGTCTATTGATGAGGAAAACAAAGCAAACTCAAAAAGGCATGCAGTCCAGTCTCCTGACAATTATTAAGATTTATGTGTTTACTTCCTTTTGCTTGGGTCAGCTGTAGTTATCTCCACAGAACAACCGTCACTGAGTGTGTCCCACACTCAGCCGGACGTGCGGCTTGGCCCCTGCAGAGCGGTGGGGGCCGCCCTCACCATCTGCCGCCCGCGCAGGTCAGAGGGAATCGCAATCTCGATCTTGGAAATGTCAAAGAGGCCGTGAGGCATGGCTCATTTCTCCCTCCCTTGTCCAAAGACCCCTTTCAAGTGTATTCAGCAAAATGAACCTTTGTATTTTGTTAAGCTGTGTGGCCGTCTCCAGGTAAAACACGAGATAACGGCCCCCACCTCCACCTCCAGAGAGAGGGGACGGCCCCAGGACTGGGTCTTCCAAACGCCGATCCGTTGTTCTACTCAACAATCTTCCTGGCACGTATTTTGTTTGACGGATCCCCGAACGTGAGTCTGGGGACACTGTATCCCCACACAACAGGCACAGCAGGATTTTATAAATACTTTAAAAAGAGTTGTAACTGGCAAACCTGACATTTGCAGGGACGACAGCTGTCGTATGTGAATTTTCTATAAAGCACTGGAAATCAGCAGATGCAGCGTGGAGCGGAAGGTGAAGGACGCTGTTTCCGCGTGACCTGTGGGGCTCTCCACTGCCCAGCCTTCACTCAAGTCTTCAGTCAAGGGACCCCAGGCCCTCCACGGCCAACTCATCCCGGGAAGAAGCAAAGAGACATCTGTGGGGGGGGAGAAGGTCTTTGTGTTGCCGAAACAGGCACCCAGAAGAAGCCCAGTTTCTGGATGTCCCTGGCCTGACCTTTAAGAAGTCTGGGGCGGGGGGTGGGCAGTGAGAGCTGTGATGAGTGGTTTGAGGCAAGGAGCAGGGAGCCAGGAGCCTCCCGGGTTTGATTCACTGCCGTGTGCGCCCGTACTGTGTGTCTGACTCCCTTATTCCCACCCTGTTTATCCATTTCTGAAACAGAGGCAGAAAAAGTAGGCAGTTTGGCACAGCCAGCATCCCCTTTCCACGGCCCCTGCCGGCCCCCACGCAAGGTGGGGAACATCACGTTCTCTCCTCTCACCTGTCTCTCGTAAGGAAGGCATCCGGTTCAACACTTCGGTCGCCGCGGACGGATTTCTCGCAGAATCGTCCGCATCTGAGCGCGGCTGCTAGATCCCTGGGGAACATGAGGACAGCCGGCTGGGCGGGCAGCCCTGAAGCCGCAGACGGCTGGCCCAGGGGACAAGGGCTCCCTGCAACTTGCCAAGCACCGGACATCCCCCTTCTCCTAACATACACGATCACGTCCCCGCGGGCTCGGGGGAATCAGATTCGGTTCGCTGACCGGGAATCTGAATCAGGAAGGACGCCAGCATCTTGGCTCTCCCTCCTCCCTTCTGCTTTCCCACTGCCAGGAGGAGGCCAAGAATACAGGGAAAAGTCCACCCGACCACCAAATCCGTGTGTCCAGGTGACTAATGTCCAGACCGCAGGCTTCCTTTGCATGGGGAGGATGACACTGCCCACAAGCCAACAGAAGCTTGAGTGGGGCAGGACCCAGGGCTCGCCCTCCTCCCTGGGCATTTTCTGGTCTGCTTTGTGTGTGCCCTTTGCCTGCCTCCTCCGCGGAAACATGCGTTTTCCAGCTGAGAACCTGTTCCGGTGCCAGGATCCAAGCAAAGTTCATCACCTGGGGTACCCAAAGGCCGGGCTTGGCGGCCACGGGAGCGCTAACCCCGCCGCTGAACCGGGGATGGGGTGGATTCAGGCCAGCAGCCGAGCTCTGGACCCGAGTCCCCGTGCTGTGAAAAGGGACTGGGGAGTGGGGGAGACGTTATCTCAGGTCCCTCCCGGCGATGGCGGGTGGGGGTAGTTTCAGAGGTTAAGCCCCAGGAAAGGTTCAGAGAGCAGGGGTTCTGGGCGGCCAAATGCGGCCTCGCCCCGCTGGCGCCGACTCTGCGCCCCGGTCCCCACGCGTCCGCGGCCCTCCGTGTCCGCAGGCGGTCCCCGAGGTGGTCCGGGTGGCAGGCGGCGCGGGGCGGGGCGGCAGGTGGGCGGGCTCCGCTCGCAGCCGTGTTTACCTGGCTCGCAGGAAGCCGGGGCGGCGGGGGCGGGAGGCGGGGTGCGCGCCGGGCCCTGGAGCAGCCGCCCTCAGTCGCAGCCGCGCGCCAGCGAGGACGAGCCTCCGGCCCCGGCGGCCCCCGTCTCCCTCCCCGGAAGGCAGCGCCGGCAGCCAGCTCCGGGAGCCGGCTCCCCAAGAGTGGGGTCCGGGCTGCGGAGAGGCGGCCTGGGACCCCGCGGCGCCCTGGGCCTCGGAGCGGCGGACTCGAGGTGGGTGATCGCGGCGGGGGCGGGCGGGGCGGCCCCGGGCTTGGTGTGCGCGCCCCGGAGCGGGGGTCCCCGGCACTCTGGGCGGGACCCGGGACCCGGGGCTGCCCTGGGCAGCGGTGCAGGTGGCAGCCCGAGGCCTCCCTGCGAGTGGGTGGGCGCGGGCGTGGGCGCCGGTCTAGGGCGGCGGGCGCTGGAACCCGACGGGTTTTCAGGTGTGGCCTCCGGCCAGGCCCCGAGGCCAGGTCTCTGGAAGGGCGCGCGGCCTAGAGGTGGCGGTGGGGGTGGGGTTTAGGGGTGAGCGGTGAGGAAGGTCAAAAGAGGCCGCTCCTGGCGACATGGAGACGGGTGCTGGCGGCGAGCTGAAGGGCAGGCTGGGGGTCCCTGCCAGTTCTAAGTGCTTGCTAGTTCCACGCGCGGAGCCCCGCGGACGCCCCCGCACCCCACCCCGGAACGAAGCAAGTTTCTCTTTGATCACGGAGAGGGGGGGCGGCGACTGGAGACTCGCCTGGCTTCCGCCTTCGTCGGGCCTGTCCCAGCTCCAGCGCGCGCTGCCTGCGGCCGCTTGCTGAGGCCACCTGCACCCACCTGCACCCACCTGCAGTCCCCGGGGCCCACCTGCGGCCACCTGCGCGCCTGGCGCCTGTGACCTGGGGGCGGGAGCTCCGCCTGGGCCCGGCGCGGTGGGTGGTGGCCCCCACGATGTGTTCTCCCCTCACTGCGCTGACGCCCCTTGGCTCTGGGTCTCCTGGGATGCTTGGTGGCAGCTCCTGGTTTCTTTCAAGATCCCAGTTCGCCCTCAGTTTCACAAGGCAGAGTGAGGTTTACAAAATGTTTAAGTTTCTTCGGGGATCTCAGTAAGTCTCTGGCAGGAAATAGGCGCATTCTGGTTCCTGTTCTGTGTTTTCCAATTGCGGCAACGTGAGAATCAACAACGAGTGTGCCGTTCAGCTCCGCAGCTGTGGCAGGCGCATGAGGGGGCTAGGGTGTGCGCTGAGGGGTTTAAACATGGTTCAGGGGGGCCCCTGGCTGACCAAGGGGGGGACACCCACACTCGGCTGGAAGAAGTTTTTCAGAGGAAGCAAGGTGTCAGAGCACCCTAATACCTCTGGTTATTTGAGACTGTAACTCACCAGGGACCCGGACATTTTACAGACCATGGCCCACAGGTCAGGGGCCAGTGGGCATCAAGGCTCACTGGCAGGCCACCCGTGGGCGGTGGTGGAACCTGCTGGGACATCACTGCCTCGTGCGGGAGCTGGGGAGCCCAGACCAGAGCAGCCCTTCTTGAAGGGTGGCCCAGCGGACCTGCTGGAGGCCGTCGGCCTAACAACATGTTTCTACCACACAAGGAGAAGGGCCCAGTAGAAGATTTATGTTTTTAAGTGGAACAAACAAAAACCTGAAGGGAAGGAATCCAGTTAAAAGTGACAGTACAGTGCTGGTTAGCAAGATCTCTCAAGGATTTAGCTATTCTGAAATGACTGCTTTTATGAACTCAGGGTGGAACCGAAGCTATTTGGCTCAAATCCACTTTGGAAGTCTTTCTGATGTATCACGATTCTGCTCGAAGGTGAGACGGTGTAAGACAAGGTGCTTGCTCTGGGATTTGGCATTGACTTGCCCCGCAGGGGTTGGGAAGGTCGGGTCTTGCTGCCAGCGTCCCCGGTGGCAGTGAGTGCCTGGTGGCGGAGGATATCGGCAATTTTCTTGCCACTTGAACTTATAAACGTTAGTTGGATCACGTGGTCACCAAGAGTCTGGTGGGACAGCTCCACCTGTGGGCTGTGCACACTGCCCTTTTCAGCCGCAGCCCAGGCTGTCCCCTCCCCCTCCCCGAGCCCTTGGCACCACTCATCTTGTTCCCCAATTTCTGTAATTTCGTCATTTCGAGAATGCTGTATGAACGGAGTCTACAATACGCAGGCTTTCTCGATCGGCTTTTTTCACTAAGCGCCATTCTCCTGAGGTCCGTTCTCCTGAGTCTATGTTCTTTTTCATTCCTGAGCCGCGTTTCGCGGGATGCATGCATCACCATTCTGGGTTGGTTGTTTGTTTGTTTTAGCCATTCCCTCTTGGAAGGGCACTTGGATCGTTGCCAGCTTGGGGTTATTGTGAACACAGCTGAACGTCCTTGTACAGGTTTTGTGTGAGCACAGCTTTCATTTCTTTGGGAATGAATGCCCAAGAGTACAGTTGCTAAGTCATAGGGCAAGCACGTTTCATTTTGTGAAAACTACCGTCCTCTTTTCTAGAATGGCTGCACTGTTTTGCAAGGTGGGAGGGACCCAGGATGTGCACAACACCGACAGCGGCTGGCACCGCGGCCACTCTTTATTTTAGGTGTTCTACCATGAGATGTGTGGTGACATCGTGATTTTGATTTGCATCTCCTCATGGGGAATGACGTGGAAGATTCCCTGCGTGTGTCTGCCATCTGTGCACCCTCACAGTGCACAGCCTGTTCGTGTCCTTGCCCATGTTCTAGTTGGGCGTTTGGTCTCCATCGTTCTCCCTATGTTCCGGACGGTGGTCCCGTGGTTGGCAGTTATAATCTGGTAGTTGTCTTTCACCGTCTTTCCACAGGGTTGTTGGTAGAGAGAACGTTTTTCAACTTGACGAGATCTGTTATTAATTTTTTCCTTTCAGGGTTGAAATGGTGGGGGAGGGTGAGAACACTGCGTAGCCTGAGGTCCTGGAGATTTTTCTGCTGTTTTTTGTTTGTTTGCTTGTGTTCCTGCCGAGTGTAGTTTCGCATCTTACACCTAAGTCTGTTGTCCGTTGTTGAGTTCATCTGTATGTCAAGTGTGAGGTGTAGGTTGAGGGCTTTTCGTTTGGCTTTGATTTACTGTTGCCTATGAGTGTGTCGCTCCCGGGCTGTTGTCGAAAAGAAGGTCACTTCAGTCAAGCTGCCCTGCTCCTCTGTCAGAAGTCACTTCCGCACACTCGTGTGGGTCCGGTTCTGGGTTCTGGGTTCTGTTCCACCCATCTGGGTGTCTGTCCCGCCACTGGCACCACACCGGCTTGATATCCATAGCAGCACAGTAAACCTTCACAACGGGTAGAGCGAGTCCCCTTACTGTTTGTCTTACTGGAATCGTGGCGACTCCTCCGCGTCCGGCGTCTTTCCGCTCACAGGGTTAGAATAGGCTCCTTTAGGTCTGCATCTCTCAAGGGGATGTCGATTTCTTTTTAAAATTAATTCACTTTCCTGAAGAGTGAAGGGGTTAACGTTTTCCAAAAGAAAAGAAGAAAATAAGGTTTTATTCGTAAGTGGTTAAACAAATTTCATGTTTAGTTTTATAGTAGAGACGAATGTAAAAAATATACCAACAGGCACGTAAAGAGGAGAAAGAACATGGACAGATGGGCTCAGAGCGCAGAGGAGGACAGAGGCAGAAGGGAGACTTTCTCAGTGTCTGACGGCCTAGTTCATGGCCAGCATGGACATACACATACACTCTGATGCACACCCCCCACAATTCTGCACACGCACGCGCACACCTACTCACACCTGCACACACGCACACCTGTTCACACCTGGAGTCCATGAGGGTGGTCTTGGGGACATTGCTCCTTGACACCTTCGTCCTCAGAAGGTTAAAGCAGCACTTTGCACAAAAAGGACAACCACTCTGCTCCCCAAATGTTATTCTATTTGTTTTATTTTTAATTGCTTTATGAAGCAGTCCCCACACCCAGCATGGAGCCCATCGTCGGACTTGAACTCACAACCCTGAGATCAAGACCTGAGCCAAGATCAAGAGTCAGACACCACTGGGCCACCCAGGTGTCCCCCAAGTGTTATTTTAAATAAGGTTTAATCTTCTGAATTTCTCAACCCAGGAATTGATTTTTATGTGACACTGTTCTTTCATAATACGTGTGTTTTTAGGACATACATAAAATCCATTAAAGGCTTAGTTAATCTGCCCCTCTCCCGAGACAGATTTCTTTTCTAAAAGGACACAGACCAACTGAATAATGGTGCCCGCAGGGCCCTGGAGGGAGGCTGTGCATCCCTATGGGGAAGCCCAGCCATGTGCCTTCTCTGCAGTCCCTGTGCCCCACATCGAATCCAGCAGGGTTCGTCCCCAGAGAAGCCAGAGTTCTCTGGGGCGAGCAGGCCTGTCAAGTGGCACATCTAAGGTCTCAGACACAGGTCCCAAAACTCTGGTCCTTACAGCTCCCCAGAACTTACCTTCACAAGTCAGAGGCCCCGGATCAGGACAGGGCTGCCCTCACCCTCCCCAGCCTCCCTTGGCTGGTGCCCCCAGGGCCAGGCCTGTGATCTTGCCTTGTCCCCGCAGGCCACACGAGCACCTGGGGAGGGCCCAGAAACCAGGGGCCTTTGCAAAACAGCTCCTCTTGGAAAGAATTGGATAGGAAAACAGTCCAACTTTTCACCTGCAGGAACTCGAGAACATCTCTCTTGATGGCGATAGGACACCCCACCTCAGAACTCACACCGGCTTTGAAAAGGGGTCAGTGGCTCGTAGGTGGTGACAGGGAGGGTGTGTGATGGGGTGTCTCTGAGGCGAAGCCACAGCCTTCCTACAGGAAATGGGTTTCTGCTCTGAGCCCCTCGGCTGTTTTTCTTCAGGGCGAGATGCTTTTCCTTCATATGTATTGCAAAATCAAAAACACAAATATAGTTTAGGACATTTTATGAAATGTAGTGGTTTTTAACAGCATGTGGATTTTGATTATACAGAAATGAAGGCTTGGGTTTGGTTTCTGTCTCCCGGTTTTAAAACCATGTAGCAGACTGAGTAGTGTCGACGCTTGTTTTGTGAACAGACATGACTTGGTTGTACTTGGACGCTGGGTTTTGGTTTGATCTGCGGTCAACATTCAGTGCCGACCATCTTGACATCTGGGGACTGCGTGCACTCTGAGCGCCCTGCTGCTGGGGGCCCACGCTCGCTCATGGAGCCGTGTCCCACCCCGCAGCCCGCGGGGGGACAGAACCGTGGCCCACAGCTGTGCTGCCCTTCGGGACC